ATGATTATCCTCTGCTTAGAACTTCTGAAGTGAAGGCTCTTTATTCAAGGTAATCGAAAAGGCAGTATCTAAGCTAATTATCTAACAAACCCAGTTTGCATCTAAGTTCTATTTCACAGTGCTGTCGTACTTTTCATGCGAATGTAAAAGCAGCAGAAGAAAAAGTTTACATACCCGTATGGAGGCTATTTTTAAAACCGCATTCTGATGGGGAGTGAGGGCCCTTTTCTAAAATAATATATGGAGCCAGACTTTCTGAAGTCATGCTTTTAACTACAACTTTAGAACTAGAAATGCACTTTGTTACCCTCCCGCTAATTTCAATGAATGCCTCATATCAGACACATTGAACAGAAAGCCTTTATCAATGCAGAAGAGATGTGAGAATGGTTCCAAAAATAAGTTGACCACAACTTCCATTATACGTGACTGAAACCCCTGAGGACAATGACAAATGGTCCAACTACATTCTGGATCTCAAGGCTAATAACCACTCAGGAAAAAAATAATGGATGGATTAAAGATGGTTTTACGTTAATATGTTCTATTCAAGGGGGAAAATATGCACTGTTCAGGTTGAGAGCAAAAAAAGGCAGTTGAATATGCCTGCAATGGCATGCTGGAGACATTTTTTCCCACTTACTGAATTCCACTAGGGATATAAAAATCTGTCATGGATTTCTTTTATCCTGAAATACTGCAATTCACTAAAGTATCACAACACAGATAACAGCAAGCAGAGGAGTCAGCTGCCATCTGTTCTTCTCAGCTAGAAAAGTGTGTTTTCAAATACTATATTCTAGAGACAATTGTGTTAAAAACACAATGAGGGTAAATTGTATTTAAACAAATTGTATAATAGGAAAGTGAGTAGAAGAAGGGATAGAGTATGGATGGGGTGTGGAAAAAATGTGTTTCTGCATGAGTAGCTTAAATTGTTTATGTAGTGGTGGTGGGAATGAAAAAGAGGGGGAGAGAAAAAAACAATAGAAAAGAATTTGTCCATTCTCCAACCTCCTCTTTTTAAGGAAGATGGTTAAGAAGGTGATTGAACTGCAATTTCAGTGAATCATGGAGGAAATTGATTATTCTAGACCTTTCAGTCAGGTTTCAGACCAGAGCACAATACGGAGATGACACTGATTTGGCTTGTCAATGGCTTTTGGTGAAATTAAAATGGAGTAGTGAATCTATTCTGGTTCTCCTTGGTTTCTTGGCAGCTTTTGATCTTAGCATCTTTCTGAACCAATGATTTTGGTGATTGAGAGTGGAAGATTCCATGTAGCAATGATTCTCTGGTTGGTTCCAGTTGAGGGGAAAGATCACAGGGGGAAAGAGACCGGGCCAGCAACCCTTCACTTGTGCAGTGCCTAAGAGGTGCAGAGCTTGTTGGTCTTACCCCTTCCATTTACAATCTACATGAAATCACTAATGGAGGCCATCTATCAGTTCAGATTCCAGTATTCTGATGATATTCAATTATATACAGTATCCTGACCCCCAACTGCCCAAAGCATGCTGTTGATATCTTGTCCCAGTATCGGTAAGCTTTCAGAGATTGGATGGGGATGAATAGACACAAATCAATCCTGACAAGAGCAACTGTCTAATGGTATTTGGCCTTTTCAACTCTGGGAACTTTCTACAGTGTCTGTAGTCTTGGATGAGATAGCATTTCCCCATTGAAAACCAGTGCACCATCTAGGAGAGTTTTGAGGTCCTGCTCAAAAGCAATTGGCAGTAATAGCCAAGAAGGCCTTCACACAGATTCATCTAGTGCCATGAGGTCCTTGATGTTCTGTGAGCTTGGTAGTTTTTTTGCAATCATTTCATGATTAAACTGGTACACCAGTTCTGTCTGCTATTGGACCAAGAGGCCCTCCAAAGAGTCTTCTGTGCTTGGTTATTTTTAGAGAGGACTATTACAATGTGGTCTCTATAAGCCTGAACTTGAAGAACTGTTGGAAGCTACTGAATGTTGCAGGGTAGGCAGTACAATAATGGGCATGTCTAAATATGCCCACATGACACCTTTGTTGTGTAGAAGATATATTGGCTGCCAGTTAGCTTCCAGGAACAATTAAAGATGCTGGTTGCAACATATAAAGACTTTCATGTCATAGGAGCTGACTATTTGATGAAGCACCTATCCCTTCTATGATTAGGCAGAGAGGAAGCACATCATGTCTACGGTATTAATCCTTCTCATTAAACAATGCCATCAGTTGGGACTTAAGAAGTACACTTTCTTTAATTTTGTTTTTACTGTTCTATTGTTTATTGCTTTTCATGCTGTAAGTCATCAAGACTCTTAGGAAGTCAGGCAATCTCTAAACAGATAAACAAATGTATTAATAATATTATTAATAATAATATCAATAATATGTATTGATATATTAATAATGTGACTATACAGCTTTCTCTCAAATTCTACAATACACATAGCCAAAGCTAGGTAGAAAGCTGACTGAGCAATCATCCTTTGTGCGCCCAAGCAAGATCAGCATGTCACCTTGTTGTGTTCTTAATTTTTCTGCTCTGAATTTCTCTGCTTTTGAAAGCAAGTATTCACTTATTAAAATATCTCAGTAGAAAGAAGCCCTGAGGAGGTGAAAAAAAAATCCCTATCCACTCTCCTATGATGTTGTTGCTGCTGTTAATTCCACAGATCTTCCTTTAGGCCAAGACTGGAACTACTTATGATGCTGGTGCTGACCAACTTTTTTTTTCTGGGACCAAAATCAATCTCTTTGGGGAAAAATATGTTTGTGTGTGTATGTGTAGATTGTGTTGACTGAGACCGAAAGGCAGAAAGTTCATCCTTTCATCATCTCTCCTGCTGGAACAGCTCTATTACTGATGCAGAAAGGAGACGCCCTCGATTGTCACCTCTCCTTTCCATACTGTCTAGGACCATCTGATTTCACCACCAGCAAAAAAATTCATATGACCTTCCCACATTTGTGCTTTGAAAATTCACTCCACGTGCCAGCTGTGATATGAAACACTGACCTTGAGAGACTGACTTTTAAAAAGAAAAGAAAAGAAAAGACTCTACTGTTACTTTTTGGAAGCCAACCAATTCCCAATGCAAGTAGAACTGGGCTGCAGTTCCCCAAATATGAAGGAAGCTGTGTGGGATTGCTGGGGATTTGAAGTTTTCTTATTGCCTCACTCCTCTTTCTTTAGATTCAGGTGCATCCCACTAACTTGGCTGAAGCTTGCTCTGCTGACAATACATTCAACAGTGTTATCCATATTCCAGCCATTACATCGAGCAAGAAAAATGTCAGAACGTGCTGTAATTCTCAGGAGCATTGTGATAACATCCAGCTCCACCTTGAATGCTCTTCCAAAGAACACTCACATGACACAACTTAAAAAGAATTTTGCATATATTTTTCCCTCCAGTCTATAAAGGAACCCATTAATTTAAAAGCGTGTCTCAAAGCACTGGGCTAGTTTCCCAGGGCTCTCCCACTCCCATCCCCCCAAAAATTGTGATATTTTTTTTTTTTGAAAACACCTTGAGATTGGATGTGCTGACAACTCAAAGGGATATTTCTCTGTTTGCTTCAGAGTTTGACAATGATTATGTGCAAATGGATGTTTCTTTTAAGCAGCAATGTAGAAACATGTATATGCTTGCAGGGTGAGGCATAGCTTAAATATATCTCATTTAGATAATGAGTGAGGGAGTTTCAGCATTCAACAGAACAGAACACTACTGACTTAACACCAAATACCATTCAGATGAACCTCTGTGTAGATCAGGGGTCTTCAAACTTGGCCCTTTTATGACTTGTGGACTTCAACTCCCAAAATTCCTCAGCCAGTGTGCCTGGCTGAGGAATTCTGGGAGTTGAAGTCCACGAGTCATAAAAGGGCCAAGTTTGAAGACCCCTGGTGTAGATACTGAACACAAATAGAATTAATAAAAGAGAATATTTGTAACTCAGGGTTGAATTGTAGGGTTGCCTGGTGTCCCCTCTAAGCTTGGTTGTTTTCTTGCAGAAGTTTCATTAGTCAACTAGGTAACATCATGAGTGCTAACTCAGAGAGCATCACAGGAGACCACAAATAGAATTGTTGCCAAGCAGATATACAGTAGAAAGCAGCAAGCTATTCACAGGTCCACTGCACATGCCTTACACATTCAAATATCATGTGTGAAGCAGACCAAAAAATACACATTGAATTCAATAAATAAGATTTTAGATTCCACCTTTGTCCTCCACTATCAAAATCATTACTGACATATATAGAGTCATTCTCCCATAAAACGACCCAGCCCAGGTTTGCCAGCCAAAGGCAGCCAATATCAAAGATTATCCATATCTTTCTTTAGGAATAAAAAGGTACCGTTCATTTCTTTACGGCAGGTTGATACAATGTCATTGAACAAAACACGATTGTTTTTTCTCTTGAAATTCTGATTTAGAGCATCATTATTAGCACCCTTCACAGCTGAGTTCACGATATGCATTAATGTCTACTTAAATGTAGGTCAGCAAACATCTCTTGCAATTTCTCCACACAGTGGGATGGATCAGAGTCATGAACTGGGAGTGAGCAATTTTTCAAGTGGGAGATGTTATCTAGGAACTTTAAAACAAACATGTCTTTAAAAAAGTAACTAAACAATTAACTAATTTACTGAGATGTTGTGAAGCTGCTAAATCTCATGGGTTTAGCAATCTTAGTATGGCATACTGGCCTACCATGGGATTTCATGAGATTAAGTGATCTTCTGATATCCCATCCAGCAACTGTTTTGATTTATTTTTTTTATTTGCTTTGGGGATTAGTATTTAAGGGCAGAGGCACCATGGGTAGCACATTGCTGAGTTTAGGATTGGCCTCCCTAAAATCAATGGGACTTAAGATGTCAATACGTATTCAATTTACTAACATTATGTAAATTTTGAAAAAGCTGAACCATTAGCACACAGACACACACACAAACAAATCTAGAAGCACAGAAATATTTTTATGCTCACCATGAGTCTGCTATCCAGGGAGAATCTCTTCCCAAATTCCTTTTTTACTATTTGCTGCTTTTTATCCATGTCTATAATGTTCTTTGTTGGAAATACCATGTATTTGCAATTTTCACTGGGAAGAAAATAAAAATACATTTTATAAAACAAAATAAACTTATCAAAATAATATTACATCTCTCTCTGACTGTGTATCTATCTCCCTACCTCCCTATCTATCTCCCTCCCTATCTCCATCTCTATATGAAGTAGGTCTACATATTTCACTCTTCTTAGTCATCTTGATATATTTAAGACTGTTGGGAGCTGCAAGTACCACAGATCTCTCTAGCCCATTTACCATAGTGTACAAAACAAATAACATCCAAACTTAAGGATGTGCAGATCAACAACTATTGAAGGTTCTCAGTTCTAAATGGCTACTCGCCTGGTAGTGATTAGGCAAAGTGAAATTCCTCTCCTTCTCCACTGTGGAGAAGGAACCTCTCAGAACATCCAGAAGCAGTTGGCATCTTCAGCAGGCCATCAGCTCTAGCTTATTTGCTTAAGAGGTCCACCATACAAATAGTGCAACTTCAGAGAATCAAGATCATGGACAGATGCATGTGAACTTTAATGAGGAGATGCTTTAATTAGTAATTCATTAGGTTTCAGTGAACAGTGACAAGGACTTCAAGCAAGTTAGTGATCATTGAGTTATTGAATAAAATTCCCCATACAAATCAAGTCAGGCATTGGAGGTTTCTAACATTGTCTCATGTCTCTTCAATGAACATACTATTGAATGTGGCTTTGAACCTAGGGCTCCTTGCTTATGGAAGCTACTTAATGGTAGGATTCAGCTGGTTTGCACCACTTCGGCAGAACCAGCAGCTAATTTTTTGTTGCCCAGGCCCAGAAGCGGCATCCACATAGAGAACTGGTTGTTCACACATTTGAATCCCACCACTGAAGCTACTCTAGGATTTTCATTGAGTCCCTTTTCTGATATTAGAGGAGAGCATATACGGTGAGTTACAATTCTCCTTGCAGAAAAGATCTCACTAATGGTTTCTTACTGTTTGTAAATCTAGTTATAACAATGAATGTATCATTTGTTTGCATTTATTTGTTTATTTGCAATGCTTATGATATACTCAATCCTAAAGAATTCTAGGCATACAGCAATACACAAAATTAAAAAGGATATAAGCATAAAATTCCAAACTTAAAGGTAGGGATGAATGCCCCACTCAGGACATCTAGGAATCAAGACTCGCTGGAATAATATAAGCTTACAGAATATTATCAACATTGGACAGCATACACCTTTGAGAGAAAGGGGATGTTACAGAGATGGAGCTCATCTAGCTTAGTATTTTTTCAACCTCAGCAACTTGAAGATGTGTGGAGTTCAGTGCTGGCTGGGGAATTCTGGGAGTTGAAGTCTCTACACCTTAAAGTTGCTGAAGTTGAGAAACACTAATCTAGCTTGTATCTTGTAAATCTCATAAGGGGTAAATCTCAACGGGATTTCTTAAGATAATCACACCAGATTCAACCCTGACTAGCCATTCTGTGATATATTACATGTGCAAGAAAAGGTCCCCATCATGGAATTATAAAATGCAGTGTCATATGCCGCAGGGATACATGGAGGAATTTTTATATTAAAGATGCAGAGTCTAAAATGCTGTAAAATGTACTTGAGGGAGCACTTATCAAAGGCAGCAATAGAAAACTAGATTCTCCTTTCCCTTGATCTCCTCTGGTTCTTCTCTTTCAGCAACTGATGGGTCTGGCCCAAATTGTATAAATATTAGGTTGAGAGGTTTGCTTTGAATATATGTACAGTAAAGTAAGAGCAAAGTCTTCCTTCCCCAGAGGCAGTCAGCTGCTTAGCAGGGAGAGGTTTACTTTCCTCCCTTTGAAGAGATACTCATAGTTGCAGATGACTTGCTGCCATCTGCCAGGAAATGAATGAAAATGTAAATTTAAAAAAAAATGCTCATGAACCACATTCACAGTCCATAATTCTCCTACACTTTGTGTCATCAACTGATTTTGCTTGCCTCGTCTGCATTCGGTTATTTCAAAAGAAAAGGCAGAGAGGGAGAAAATAAGAACAATAACTTTAGGAAATATTTTTGGTGATAGGAAATGTGGATAAATACTTTAATTTCTCTTCAGGAAAAAAAAATTGTAATCAAGTTTCCATTACAGTCTGGTTGATCAGTGGCCAAATAGCCACCGATTAAATATTAATTTAGTCTCCACATAAAAATTAATATTGAATGCATTTTATTCAGTAGAAACTGAATAAAGAATAATTCTTATCTTAGTTTATATATCACATGCAAACAAGATATAAATGGTTTGCTTGATTGATTAGGTTTGCAGATTGCATTCAATCACAATGTGGTTTGTTACTGACTGTGTTAAGTATGGCTTAATCAACAAACTATAGTTAATCAAATCATGTCTGAACACATAGAATAATCTAAGTTATTCTCTCACTTTGCTACTCCTTTAGTGTTCTCAATGCTCTATGGCAGTGTCAGTAGATATTTTACATAGTTTGTATAGTATTTGCCATTACAACCTAAATAGAAATATTCAAGAGTATTGTGTTACATCATTATTTTCTTCAAGCAGTAGAATCATGAAGCAATACAGCTGGCATCTTCAGGTCATAATTTATATGATTCTATGTATGAAATATAAAATATTTCATATGAAATATTTCATATGAAAATATTTGAGAATTAAGGTTTGCTTTAAGACAGGGGTAGACATGCTGGCTCAGGAATTCTAGGAGTTGAAGTCCACAGGTTATAAAGCAATAGCAATAGCACTTAGACTAGGGGTTTTCAAACTTGGCCCTTTTATGACTTGTGGACTTCAACTCCCAGAATTCCTCAGCCAGGAATTGTGACTTGTGGACTTCCTCAGTTGAAGTCCACAAGTCATAAAAGGACCAAGTTTGAAGACCCCTGACTTAGACTTATATACCACTTCATTGTGCTTTCCAGCCCTCTCTAAACAGTTCACAGTGTCAGCATATTGCCGCAACAATCTGGGTCCTCCTTTTACTGACCTCAGAACAATGGAAAGCTGAGTCAACCTTGAGCTGCTGGCGGTGGGCAGAATTAGGTAAAGTTTTCAAATTGAGCTTGTCTTTGGTAATTTCACATCCTCCTCCCCATATAGTTTTCTCAGGGACTATATAGAAGTAGCTTTCTATATGGATTTACCTTAAGGGTTTTCAGCTTTCTAGTATCACCTAAAGACTTGAGTTTTTCAGGTGAGTTCCCATCCAAGGAGTAGCCAGGTCCAGCCTGCTTAATTTTTCAAGATTAGCAAAGTTGGGTTAGATACTGCCACCAGCTACACTAGGCTTGTTTTATTAGTAATGGTGACGCAGGCTGTTAAATAGCTCATACTTCTGCCAATTGGAATATTAGCCTGTTACCCAAAGAACAGCACTTTAGATTCATGAGCAGTGGGTGTAAGCTACTCCTACAAGATTGCTGTTCAATGACTAAAATCAAATATGAAAAAGTTGATGATGAACAGGTGTCTCTATAAATAAAGTGCTACACATATCACTGTTAATCTACCAGAATCTCATTCTGAACTCCCCTTATCTCCCTACTATATATTTCAAGGCCATTCAGAAGAATCTTGATTTCAGTTACAAATAGGTAGAAGGCCACTAAGCTGTAAAAGCCGAATACACAAGGCTTTCCATTTCATAAACCGAAAAGGCCACCATTAACTTTATTTTGTGTCTAGTGTAGAAAATAGCAATGACACATCCTGAAATGTTGCTGAAAGGTGATTTTCTGAATTGATCAAAGGGTAATATAATTTTATTGATGAAACTATCCTATTCTGACGCTTATAGTAACAAAGATAGGAAATATCAAGCTATATTTCAAGGACTTGAAGGGCTTCATTGATTCACAGTTACCCGCCCCCCAAAAATTGGATATATAGTAAAAATGTGTATATCAAAGTCAACTTGGGCATTGTCAGATCTTGTTTCAGGTATATATAATATGCTCATTTATAGTTTTCCTTCACTGAGAATCACCAGAGTTTTCTCTTCAACAGATATATCAATATTTTGATAAATGCTCAGTGATCACTGCTAAGAAGTTCCCAATCACATTCAGTATGCAGTTTTATCCTATGCATTGCCAAGATATTCTTGTCTGTTGATGTTGAACATAGTTTCAGAAATCCTGAAGTTTGTACAACATTGCTGAATGCTATCAAAGTCATAAGGAAAATCTATGTGGGTAACCAATCAAACTTTATTATGGGTTGAATTCTAATTATGAGTAACAGTTTGCTGGACAACATAGCAACATATCATATTCAACTACAATCATAGGTCTGTACAATTAAGGTTCACTGCAGAAGACAAAAACAAGTTGGAATTGTGTATCGATCAGATGATAAATAATTTGGGTTGATTCTCAATGGAAACATATATACTTGGAGTGTTTTTGATACCAAAGGAATGGGATTTTTTTTTTCTAAAGTTAGAATTAAAAGGAGAAGGCAAGCTATAATATTCCTCTGCATGTATTCAGAAGTGAATCCCACTGATTCAAAGTAATGGGATACATTATATAGTTGCAAACTTAGAACAGGTCAGCTGTAGACTCGATGAACTTTATCTCTGGACTCTACAGAGGGCTGAAATTTAATATCCAGACTGAAAGTGATCCGTGTTATTTATTCATTTCTACACAAGACTGAATGTTGCCCATTCCAGAGACTCCAAAGGATTTTTGAATATTCAAGTGACACCAGCTCATATAATAACAGAAAAAGAGTTCAATGGTTTTGATCAGAGCCCTGGTTGGCTCAGTGGTTGGAATGCAGTACTGCAGGCTACTTCTGCTGACTGCCGGCTGCCAGCAGTTCAGAAGTTCGATCTTGACCAGCTCAAGGTTGACTCAACCTTCCGAGGTCAGTAAAATGAGGACTCAGATTGATGGGGGTGATATGCTGACTCTGTATACAGCTTAGAGAGGGCTGTGAAGCGGTATATAAATCTAAGTGCTAGTGCTATTAGATTATGAAAGCAGCTTTGTCAGATCAGGCCTAAGGGTGTGTACGCAG